TGGGATCCAGCCCGACATCGGGCTCTGTGCTGAGCGTGGAGTCTGCTTAAGATTCTCTCCCCCCCTCCCCGTCCCCGCTTGGCCTTCCCTTCTCTCTCTAAAATAAACATAATAATAAAAAATAACGTAAAAATGCCCCTGTAGATCCCTTCCCGTTTTTAGAGTGGCCGATTTCCTGTGTGGTGCTCGCCCTGCTTTGACCTGGGGCTGTGACCTGGCCTGTGCCAGGGCCCCGGCTTCTGTCCCAGCTGCCTCCCTGCTGTTTTGGCTGCTGGCCGTCTGCTTCTTTCTTTGCCTCCTAAAAGCAGTGATTTTGCCTTTAATTCTGAGGTGTTGGTCTTGGCGGGGAACAGATGTTTGCTCAGAATTAAGTTAAAGTAAGAGTACGTTTGTGTTCTCTCTTTTTTTAGGCAAAAGTAAAGAAGCAGAAATAAAGAGAATAAACAAAGAACTGGCAAACATTAGATCAAAATTTAAAGGTAAGTATGTTCAGTCTTTTTCATGAAATGTCCTTTTGTAAATTTTCTGGAGCAAGGGCCTCTTCTAATGCCTTTTAATTCTTTCCACTTCAGAGTTCTGAGTTTGCACAGTTAATCTCATGGTTCTGCTAGAATTAAAACATGCTTAGAGTCAGGCCATTGGTCGTCGCTCCTGAGCTGTCTGAGAACTTGTGTGGAATCGATCAGGTGGAGCAGCCCCTCCCAGGCCCCAGGTCCTGAAGCTGGAACGACACTGGTCGAGAGCAGCTCGCTCCTTCCACTCCTGGACTTTGTTCCATCGAGTCCGGGAGTGGTGATCCTGACAGACCGGGTGTGTTCCGGGCTCAAAGTGTGAATGTCAAAGAAGTGCTCTACCTTAGGCTGCTCATTGTTTCAAGTATGACAGAGTCATCTAAGCACTTCCTGTAGCGAAGTGATTTTGGCTCTGGGACCCAGTCGTGCATCACATCACCCAGCCACTCAGGTCGCGCCTCTTTGTAGGCCGGCGTGTCGGGGGCCACCCTCCCTGATCGCCCGCACGTTGAGGAGTGGTAAAGTGCAGATCGTCAGCACTGAGGACACATTTGTGAAAGGCTGACTGATCCTTTAAGCCTTACTTTCTCAGTGAATTCTTCCAGGTTTGATACCTGGTTCACACGAGAGTGGCTGCAATTGCCTAGGATCAGTGAGCAGAGGAGAGGCTGGGACTGAAGCTGAGCAGCTGGGCAGGGTTGGGGTGTGGGGGGCACAGAATTTCTAGGAACGGGTGGCTTCTCAGGGCTTGAGAATGGGTGTCCTGTGTTATCAAGGGATACAAAACTAGTGGACTTCAAGTATTTTCCCTGTGGAGCCCTAGGGAAAGTATTATGTTTTCATACTTTGAACTGGGCCTGAGGATTTTCTAGAAGGTCTGTGAAACTTCTGAAATTATATGTGAAAAGGTTTGCTGTTTTACACGCACACGTGTGTGCATATATATGTGTGTGTGTGTATACGTACGTGTGTATGTTTGGGTAAATCTATAACTCTCATTGTTTAAGTTTGTTTTTATTTATTTGTTTTGTTAAGCTTTTATTTTTTTAGAGCAGTTTTAGGTTCACAGCAACATTGAGAGGAAGGTACGGAGACTTCCTGTGTATCCCTGCCCCCACACGTGCGCTGTCGACATCCCCACCAGACAGCTGATGAACCTGCATGAACATGTCATCATCACCCAAAGTCCACAGCTGATATCGGGGTCACTCTGGGGGGTACATGCTATGCGTTTGGACAAACGAGTGATGACGTGTATCCACCGCTGCAGCATCGTACAGAGTAGTTTCACTGCCTGAACAATCTCTTGTTGTGCTCTGCCTCTTCATCCGTTCCTTCCCTCTAACCCCTGTGGACTGCTGATCTTTTCATTGTCTCTGTAGTTTTGCCTTTTCCAGAATGTCATAGAATTGGAATCAACAGTGTGCAGCCTTTTCAGATTGGCCTCTTTTACTTAGTACGGTGCCTTTAAGATTCCTTCTTTTCACGGCTTCACAGCTCATTTCTTTGCAGAGCTGGACAATAGCCCCTTGTCTGGACGTCCCAGGGTTTATCTGTCCACCCACTGACGGACATCTTGATTGTGTCCCAGCTTTGTCCGTCGCGACTACAGCTGCTGTGATTCTAAATACAGCTGCCGCGGGGCGCCTGGGTGGCTTAGTCGGTTAAGCGTCCGACTTTCGCTTAGGTCATGATCTCGCGGTTCGTGGGTTCGAGCCCCGCGTCGGGCTCTGTGCTGACTGCCAGCTCAGAGCCTGGAGCCTGTTTTAGAGTCTGTGACTCCTTCTCTCTCTGACCCTCCCCTCCTCACGCTGTCTCTCTCTCTCTCTCTCTCTCCTAGAACTAAATAAAACATTAAAAAATTTAAAAAAAAAAAAAAAAAGAGTAAGGTTGTCCTGACCACCTGCAGACCGTGTCCTTGCTCTGATGCTTACTAGGCGTGCTGCCTTGTCACAGTAGCTGTCTCTCCTCAGCTGTCAGGTGGGCTACTGAAGATTATGTCGGGCTGGGTTCTCTGTGACTGCACCCCGAGTTAGTCTGGGAGGACTGAGGACTTGTGAGAGGGGCACGTGTGAGCAGGGACAGGAGGCAGCGGGCAGGGGGACGCTGGTCTGCCAGGGTTGCCGTTGGCGCATTAGGGAGCTTTGACGTGAAGACTGCCTGTCGGCTGTCTGGCGTTGGGCGGCCATGGCTGGGCCCTGTCTCACCCCCTCGCTCAGCTCTGGCTCGAAGCCGAGGAAGGCAGTCCCTGACAAAGCTAACCTTTCAGGTCACCGCATTCTTGGCAGCTCCAGTCCTTAATGGAAGGGGGGTCTGTGTCTGCTACACCGATTCTATCTCTGTGTGGAAATGTGGAGAAATCACTCCACAGAAAGTGAATGCCTAATAAATGTTAATCGTGTTGTTATTAAAAAAGAGTTCATGGCCCTTTGGGTGGTAAATCTTCAGACTTTCTGTATAAATGTTTTGGGGGCAAACAGGGCTTGTGCTGTTTCTTCTGTCTTCACGCCTGTCTAAGCTCAGCTGCCCCAGACAGGGAAGGAGGTTCCCTCTTATCTGGTAAGCAGTTGGCATTATTGAGTATGTGTGCACCTTGAATAGTAACAGATAAGAGAAAACCCACCCTTTATCCTCAGAAACCTGCACCCTGGGGGGCTTCTGATTCCAGTTATGGCAGATTAGCTAATTTACATCTGTACCATACGATAGGAATATAATGCAAGTCACTAATGCAGATGCACATACAATTCTACATTTTCTGGTAGCAACATTAAAAAATAGTAAGAAGCAGATGCAACTAATTTTAGGGTTGGCCCAGTTTGGTGGAGTGCGTGACTCTTGATCTTGGAGTTGTGAGTTTGAGCCCCACGTTGGGTTATTATTATTGTTAATAAAAAAGCAACAAACAAAACTTTAAAAAAACCTAATTTTAATACATTTTATTTATTGTAATATGCCTAAAATATTATCATTGCAACACGCAGTCAATAGAAAAAGTTCTCTTTTTGTAGAGCTATCTTACAGTTTTTTCATACCAAGTCTTTGAAATCTGATGTGTATTTTACACTTAGAGCACGCTCAGCGCTCCTGCAGACCAGCCACACATCCCAGTGCCCAGTAGGCACATGTGGCCAGAAGCTGCCGCGTTGGGCAGCGTTGACTTCAGATGCAGTGTTACAAACATCTCGAGGGGTTGCCTGGCTGGCTCAGTGGGTTGAGTGTCAGATTCAAGTCCTAATCAATCTCACAGGCCTGAGATTGAGCCCTGCATCCCAAGCCCTGCTTGGGATTCTCTCTCTCTGTCTCTCTCTGTCTCTCTCTCTCTCTCTCCCCCCCCCGTCCCCCCCCCCCCATAATAATAAAAAAAATCTTGGAAGCATCAGAGAGTAACAAGAAACAAGGAGAATTTCTGGGCCTTCTCTAGGAGGAGGGAAGTGTCCATGTAAGCAAGTACAGCATGCAGCTGTTTATGCCTTGACAGCATTTGCTAATTCCAAAGAAAGAACCATGAAACAGAGACATTAAGGTGACCCTGAAAGTCAAGAGGGTGGTTATCTGTCAGGGTGACTGCCCTCCAGGGGACATTTACAACATCTGGAGACCGGTTTCTTTGTCACCACCCTGGAGGGGATGCGTTGCTGCCATCTAGTGGGTGGAAGGCAGGGAAGCTACTGAACAGCCTACAGCACATACAACAGCACCCCCTTCCCTGCCCCCCAAGAACCACCTGGCCTGAGAAGTTAAGCAACCCTGGCCTAGGAGAAAAATCAAAACCCAGAGCCTGCAAGAAGTGGAGATGCTTTTTACTTTACGTGGAGACTTACAAAGACAGTGCCCTAAGGCAGGAGTGGACTGGATGTGAGCCAGCCCTATCACAGGTGTGCAGCGGGGCTCTGGACACCTCAGACTTTACACTCGAGGTAAGGTAAGAGCAGTCCTCTGAAGGAGGACATTGCCATTGTAGCCACAGATGGTTCCTAGGGTTTTCACACATGTAGTCCAGCACAGTCACTGATCACTAGGCGCATGAGGAGTGAAGGTGGCGTGAGCAAGAACCAGCAGAGACCACGCAAACAGAACCCTAGAGACCTCTGATACCAGATTCACATCGCAGTAAAGGAGTAGGTTTACCATTTTTCAAGTAATAAAGGCACACTCAAAATTTGTAGCAGGAAACTTGGGGTGTGAAAGGTGACATAGTGGAATTTGAAATATAAGGCTAAATGGAAATTCCAGAACTGAAACCCGCAGGAACCAAAATGAAGAACTCTGGATTTAACAGCAGACGTGGTTGAAGGGAGATTTAGTGTTCTGAACAATGGAGAGGAACAAAGCCTGTCCTGAATATAGGACAGATGGAGGGCAAGTAAGGGAAACAGGAGAGTGGGTGAGAGACAGAGGGATGTGGTGATACAGTCTCGAAGGTTTAATTGGCGTCCCAGAAGGAAAGGAGAGAGAATGTGGCGGCTTTTAAGATTGCATGAAGTTGCGTTGTAGGAAAGGAAGGAAGTTACCTGTCCCCTTGGTGGGGACAGCAGAGGCCCTCAGGCCTGGCAGCATGCTTATCATTAGGCTTTGCCACCTACTTCGTGGCATGTGACCATCATTGAGTTTTTTCCCCAATAAATCCTTTATTTTGTATTTTTATTTATTTTTTAAATGTTTATTTATTTTTGAGACAGAGAGACAGAGCTTGAGGCAGGGAGGGGCAGAGAGAGAGAGGGAGACACAGAATTGGAAGCAGGCTCTACGCTCTGAGCTGTCAGCACAGAGCCCGATGCGGGGCTCGAACCTACGTGCCATGAGACCATGACCTGAGCTGAAGTCAGATGCTTAACCAACTGAGCCACTCAGGCGCCCCTCCATAAATCCTTTAAAGTTTGATTCCTAATTCTGTCTTCCTAGTTTTATATATTAAGAATTTATTTTTCTGATTTCAGTACATTGTGAGATATCTTCAACATTTTAGTGGATTTGTTTGTCTTAAAAAGAATGCGTAAAATTTATAAAACTGCAGACTCCACACGCACAGGTGGCATGAAGGAGGTACACCCCTAGACGCATTATTGTGTACAGGCAGGGATCACAAGTCACGGGAGGGGAGCTGTGCTGGCAGCCGACTTTGCACACGGTGGAACGGAAGGCTGGCCCTGTGCTGGAGAGCAGCCAGCAGAAGACTACCCAACGAGAATGTCTTCGAAGATCGAAACTAAAACAACTTCTTCAGACAAAAATGGAGAGAGTGTCCCATGGGGAAAAGAAAATTCTAAAGGGTATACTTCAGGCCAGGAGCAGATAATTCCAGATGCAAGGTCAGAGGGGCAGAAGAGGAGGAAAGAAGTGGCGGGCATGGAAAGAAGTGAGCGCACGATAATGCCTTGTGGCGATACAGACACGTGGAAGCAAGTAGATGGGAGGTGATAAAATGCGACAGTCCTGGAGACGTTAGAACATTGCATCTATAATCCAAAACCTTGCCACCAGGAAAGCTGGAGGCTGAAGGTGTCACTGGTGAGCTCTGTCATTTGAGGAAGGACATGGGGCTTGGCCATGTGATGCGGCCCGTGGAATGTAGGCCACGACCGCGCGCCACTTTCAGACCTAACCTTGAAGAGGGTTGCTCATTTCCCCTCGCCCCTTCAGGGGACTTCCCGTTGCCTCCTTGAGAAGAATGTGCTTTGGGTGCTGCTGGGCTGAGAGAAGGAGAGGCACCCTGTGCAGGCCTAGATCCTGCTTGTGGCTGGAGGCCGCCCCTGCCGAGCCCTGGCTGACCTGCAGACGCGTGAGCAAGAAGTCGTGCTAGTCGTGTGGGCCACCCAGGTTTGGGGTGGATGGGGGTAGTTATGACGTCAGCCAGCATGCTCTACCTTGAACCATTTGGGAAACAGCTGCCGTGTTACCCTCTACGGAGACATCATGATTGGTTAATCCTGTCGCGGGAGCTTACCAGATGGCATACATTACCTCACTAAATATGGGGTATCCGCCACGGTCTGGGGGGACGCAGGTGAATGAAGAAGTTCCTGTAAAGGGCGGGCACCTGGGTGGCTCAGTCGCTTAAGCATATGATTTAGGCTCAGGTCATGATCTCACGGTTCATGAGTTTGAGCCCCCAGTCGGGCTCTGTGCTGTCATCGCAGAGCCCTCTTTGGATCCTCTCTCTCCCCCTCTCTCTGCCCCTCCCTGCTTGCGCTGTCTCAAAAATAAATAAAACAATAAAAGAAAAGTTCCCATAAAGAACTTTGGTTATTGTAGGTGTAGAAAGAGTTAAGTGAACCACAGCTTTCTATGTAGGAGGCGTGAAAGCTCACAGGAAGGGCATGCCACACGGCTCCCGACGGGCCAGCCATACTGCCCGGTGCCTTGCCAGTGTTCTCCCAGGTTTTCTGCTCTGCTTCCTGCTGGATTTGACAGTAATGTTTTAATTTCTTTTTTTTTTTTTTTAATGTTTTATTTATTTCTAGGAGAGAGAGAGAGACAGCATGAACAGGGGAGGGTCAGAGAGAGAGGGAGTCACAGACTGAAACAGACTCCAGGCTCTGAGCTGGCAGTCAGCACAGAGCCCGATGCGGGGCTCGAACTCACAAACTGCGAGATCATGACCTAAGCAAAAGTCGGACGCTTAACCGACTAAGCTACCCAGGCGCCCCTACAGTAATGTTTTAAAAGTTGGCTTTATGAGATATGATTTATTTGCAATAAAATTTACTTAAGCGTGCACTTTGAATTTTGGAAGATGCATGTATTTGTGCAGCCACCATCACAAACGACGCAGAGAACATTTCTGTCACCCCATAGGTTCCCTATGTCCCTGTGCACTCAGCCACGTTCCTCAGCCCCCAGTGGCCACCGGTCCCCTTTCTGTCACTGTAACTTTGCTGTTTCTTTTTTTTTTTTTTAATTTTTTTTAATGTTTTATTTATTTCTAGGAGAGAGAGAGAGACAGCGTGAGCAGGGGAGGGTCAGAGAGAGAGGGAGTCACAGACTGAAACAGGCTCCAGGCTCTGAGCTGGCAGTCAGCACAGAGCCCGACGCGGGGCTCGAACCCACGGACCGCGAGATCATGACCTAAGGGAAAGTCGGACGCTTAACCGACTAAGCCACCCAGGCGCCCCTAGCTTTGCTGTTTCTTGAAACCCACATGAAAGGGATTGGGTGCTGTGAGGTCTCTTCAACCTCACACACAACCCGTGTGTGTGCCCATGAGCCCTAGGCGCTTCCCGCACAGCGTGTGCACTCACCCGCGCTTGCCTGCGGGGCCGAGGCTGCGGTGAGCCCTCCCTGTGGGCACGCCCCCTGGAAGGCAGGGGGCCGTTTTTGGGGGGTGGCTGTACGTGTCTCACCCCTGGCAGCAGTGTGTGAGACGTCTCTGTTCCTCCATGGCCCTGCCAGCACTCGGTATGTTGATCTTGTAAAGTTTAGTTACTGTGCTGAGTGTGTAGTGGAACCCACTGTGGTTTTAATTTGCATCTCCCTTTTTTTTAACCACTAAAGTCAGTAAGCATTATAGAGAGAGGAGGAAACGCCTCGGGTCTGTGGGGACCTGGGGATGAAGAGTGGATTCTCTGGTGTGAGCATTTGTCAGATAGTTAACGGAGGAGGCAGACAGAATGGCACAGGGGCCAGGGAAGAATACCGTCAGGGTGCGGACGCGAGGGAGTGCCATGTCCATCCCGGGTATCTTATTCTTTCCACCTCTTAGATTATAAGATACTTGATGAGTGCCAGTGTCTGTGAGAGAAAACAGTGGGAAAAGGTCACAGCTCAGAAATTGTCTGGAAGAGTCTGGTTCCTGGGATGCGGGTGCTGTGCCCGCAGCCATGCCGGTTCTTGCTGGCATCTTATTTGTTAGGTGAGAGCATCGTTCTTGGTGAAATAGGGTTACGCTTGGGGCAGCTGTGCTCAGACCTCACGGTGGGCCATGCGGCCTCTCCCTACTTTATGTGAGTGTCCCGTGACCCTCCCCCCGCCCCACCAGTACAGGCTGAGTGTTTGGAAACCTGTATGTCCCAGGCTATGTCTCTGTTTAGCACAAGGGTCCTGCCTTTAAGGCACAAAAGACAGATTTATGTCAGCCCGAGGCCTGCTGGGGTTGTAAGTAAAACTGGTAAGCATCTTTCTCCTATCCCTGAAGAGTGGTTCTGCTGGATGAATGTTGGCCGTCGCCACTGTCGCCTCAGGGTAGGCTCTGAGAAGCACGAGTGACTGATGGTGTTTTAGGTTGATTGGTGCTAGGACATAGTGGGGACAGAGCAGGCAGGGACACAGCAGAGTGGTGTGGGGGCATGTGCGGAGCACCGCTGTGTGGGTACGCAGGGCGACTTGGCTCTGTCCCGGACGCTAGGCCGTTCTCAGGCTGTGTGCCCTCCGGCCCAGCACTTGAGGAGGAGGGAGCGTGTTTGTCCCTGCATCTGGATGCAGAGGTGACCCTCTCACTCTCCAGTCTGGGGTCTTATTGCTTAATATCTTGTTACAGAAATAACAGGTTTCTGTCATCCTCAGACCTTTTTCACATTTCACGTTCTGAAATTGGCGTGAGTCTTAAGGGCCAGTGATAAAGGGTCCTCATGAGCCTCACGTTTTCTCAGGCACTACTATGCCCCGGGGTGGTGTCCTGCTTCATTTCTGTAACAGCTCACTGAGGAGGGGACAGTAGACAAATCAGGATGCCCAGGGGCACAGACTGGATCCTGACCTTCAGTCAGGATGTGTGGCCTGTTTTCCACCTCCCCTCTTCTCTGATCTTCCCAGTATATGGGGACACGGGCCACCCCCTTTCAGGAACAAGATGTGGAGTATGACAGTTTGAAATGACTGGAATAAGGACACAGTTCTAGCCTGCCCTGAAACTAACACTGTGAGGACCACCTCCGTCTGGTGTGGTCTGAGTGAAACCACACCGACTTAGAGGGACGGTCACCGTGAGGAATTCCAGAGCTCTGGTGAGGGTGACTGCAGGGCCCAAGGCGTGGCCCCTCAGGCTGAAGGAGATCCCCCAGGAGGACCGATCTGCGGGCCCCTCCTTCGAGCAAGGGAGTAACTCAGCCCCCAGAGAGAGAGAAGGCAGCTGGGTTGGCCGGCCCGGGCGTGGGCCATCGGGAATGTGCAGAGGGTGGTGACCCGCTTCGGGCAGGAGGTAGCATGGGACTGCAGAGAGAGCCGGGATGCTGGCATGGGCACCGGGGTTACATTGAGAGGCCTGCAAGGTTATGGCCAAGGCGAGGCCCAGAATTCACTGTGGGGCCTCAGAGCTCCTCCTGTCCTCACCCCGAGCTGTGGGAGGGCCCCTTCTGCAGCTGTGGCCCCCCAGTGGCCCTGCACTGAGACAGCCACGAGGGAGAGGTGTGCAGAGGGCTCTGCCCTGGGCCGTTTGTGAGGTGCGCTTGGAACTGACCAGTGGCGTGGGGACACTGTCCCGACAGCGAGTTCTGTCCTTGGGAGACGGGCTCGGTCTCCTGAAGAATGAAGAGGATGCCAGGCTCCGCACACGTGTGGACGGGGCTCCTGGTGCCCGCGTACTGGGTCTTGCTCCTGAAGTGGCTGGGTCATGGGTGCTGGGAATGTACGGGGTGGATGCAGGCGGAGCCAGCAAGCGCACTCTTTGCCGACAGAAACAA